CCCCCCCCCCCCCCCCCCCCCCTGGGAGGCCCTCTTTCTTAGTCTTGGCTGGTCGCGAGGAGCCGGCTTAAAATAAATTTTTGCTGACAAAGTAGGCAAAAGTATCTCTTACAGTATCCACTAGTTAAAAAGACTAGCATTGCTGTATATCAAGTACGTTCATGAACAAAAGCCTTGGAACAAATTTATATTGATGTCGACTTTTTTACAAGTACTAAACAAACAAACAAATTGCATATCACTCTAAAGAATAAATAAAGTTCTCAGGGTGCTGCTTTGTAGCTTTCATTTTCAGCAAGCAAAAAACTTTATTCAAAATCTTCCAATTATACATAAAAGGACATCTTAAGAGTTAGTCGAGGAGAGCTCAAGAGAAAAGAAAAACCAGTATTATATTACAGAACCCTCTAACAAACACCCCTAGAATACGGACACCTAGGGTTTGCTCTCAATCACTCTTTAGAAATGTCAAATCTCTATAATCAGGACACGTAGCTAAAACGGAATTCTAAAGTTGGTCCCTGCCCTCCTTTACTCATTTCAGTTGACTCCCTCTAAGACGGACGCTTAGTGCCTGTCCCAAAGTTGTCCGTCTTAGAGAGAGTTGTATATACCCTTTTTTAAGACGCAAGACAGCGAAAACCATACGCTGTTGGGCGTGGCAGATTCCGTTTAGTGTAGATGACGGAGTGTCCCCTATTCAGTCAAGAAATTCATTTATCTCAGATAAAGCTATTAAGACGTTCAACTTCGACACAAATAAAAATAGTGTCATTGACAAGATAGCGTCTTGATTTAAGTCGCTCTTGAGTGATGAATTTGCAGAAACCGAAAGCTGTGTTCCTCGGTCTTGATTCTGAAGGCTTAGAATAACAGAGGCTGAAGTGTGCATTGTGTTTTGGAAGGCTTGACATCTGTACGTTTTTCTTCAGATATGGATTCGGCTGTTGCTCAATAAGAGTTATTATCACCTTCCGGTTAAAAGGCCAGGGTAATATGTCGTCGTATTCACCCCTCAAAAGACAAACAAATATGGATAAGTGTGTGTTCCATCCTGTATTTAATCCGTTGGGGTGGAATTCTACGCACATTTTGTAACCGTAAGGACCTGTAAGAAACGGATCACTACGGTAAAACATCTTTGAGCCATACTTCGCTTTTTGCATGGCGTCGTCGAATTGGGTAAATTTCCAGATAAACTTATCACTGATATGAACATCAGTGGATAGCTGTTGAAGAGACGAGATCAGTGGCTT